CAAATATACAAATTTTGAAAAAAATAATTCTTTTTATTAAACATGAAAATTTATATAACTTATATACAAATATATTTCAGTTTCATTATCAGTATATCAAATGATAAAGTCTTTATAACAACTTTATATTTGATATCTTTTCATTTAATTACGTACGTTGTGTGAATCCTAACAGCATTGCTTGTACTATATCTCCCTGTTTCAATTCAGTCTTTTCTGCTTTACGTGCTGGTAACATTAATAATGCATTTGCATTTTTGCAGTTAAGTAATTTACTACTAATCTGATTTCCCGTGCTATAAGCTTGTGGTAGAGTATCTACGTCGTTCCATTTTAAAACTGCTCTTGCATACTCAGGTCGTGGATCCAAATTATAAGAAGACATCAACTATTAATAAAATCCTTATTAAATACTGTTCAGTTTAACCATTTATAATTAATAAATTTATTACATACTTTTGCTCTCACAATTGTGGGTGTGGAGTCATCCTTGCATAATTTCTTTAGTAAAGGTAAAGCAAATAAATGCATAGTAACAGTTGCAGAAACTGGATTACCTGGTAAACACAATAAATATTTCTTTCTATCTTGAAGCACACATGTTGCAAAAGTAGTTGGTTTTCCAGGTTTCATATTTATACGTCCTAAACATATATTTCTTATTAATTTTTGTTTAAATACTTACTATATTTATGACTATATTATTTTAATAACAGTGTTACCAAAATGTATTGTAGCATTAAAATAATGTTGCAGAATTGGTTTTAACATATCCCTATCACCCATTGATACAGAACCTGATGTTATAAGTACATCAACTTGTTTTAAAGCATGTTTAATTTTGTTTATCATGATGTTCTCACTACAATATATGCAAAACTTAAATTTAAACAAATCACTTTATACAAGGTGTCCAATTATTCACTAGTCTCCTTAAAGGAAACTCTCCAGAGCATGCTCTCTAGAGAATGTTTTTTAATGAAAATATAAACATTGAACCCTATCTACGTCTTTAATAAATCTATCAGTTGAGATTATCCTACCCATTGATATCTCTAGTTCCCTCTTTGAAGTTTTATATCCCATTAAGTATCGGTTTTTGACACTATATTTGCAGAATATTTTTTTCTTCGTTTTACCTTTCTAATCATCATCTTTAAGGAGATCAGTGAATAACCAGATACCCCTGTATATAAAATAGTGTATAAATGAACATACTCATCCACTGCAATACCCATATCCATAGAATCAAAGCCATTTTCTTTTAACATTGTTAATAATGTAACTTTGTTGCTATCATATATATGCCCAGGCATTAAAGCTGTCCCAGGACATTGTAATTCATCTCCTGTAGATAATACACCAATCTTTGGAAAATCGGTAACTGGTATTTTTTTATAACCACATGCAGCGGCAAGACCTAATTCTATTGCTTCGAGTTTTGTTCCTGATTTTAAAATTAACTCTCCCTTTTTAATATCACAACCAATAGGTCTTAAAATAAATAACATCGTATTATAAAATATTGTAATTATATGGTATTATTAGAAATAAAATACCTAATGTCTTGTCCAATTTGTACTTCGGCCATAATTTCGATTTCTTTTTCCTCCATATTATCTGATGTTCCTTTTATAAGTTTGGTATCTTCTACTTGAATAACTGCAGTTGCATCT